TTCTACTCACAGTATGACCATCAAATTCACTTGTGTGCACAAACTAAGCATTTTCCTGGTTTCAATTTAAATTCTACTCTCTTTATCTACTGGAATGCCATTCTTAGGTTCTAAGCCACAGACAGATGTGCAATCAAGGTAAACCAGGTAATACCTATTGTATTCCTTTCAATTTAAACTGTATTAACCTTTTAAAAGTGATGAATGCCTTACACAGGCCAAATGGCATGATACGAAACTCCTACAAACTATCTCTCATGCTAAAAACAGGCTGCTCTCATCATCCAGATCAACTTACCAGTATCTAGATCTAAAGTGTTGAACTAACGGGTAACTTTTGAACCTCCAACATTCATCTGTTCATAATGAAAGGAAGATATCAACAACAGTTTCCATGTTCACCCATCTAAAACGAGCACAGAATCATAGTATACCTTCCTTTGTTCTGATAATAACTACTGGAACTGACCAAGTACTCTCTGAAAGTTCTTTGATTCTTATTTTCAACATCTGATGTATTTTAATGCTGGAGGCAACCCTAGTGCTCCATAGACACCTGTGCAGCAACTGTTTGATTAGAAATGTGGTGCCTGTATCTATGTTGTGATGAGTCACTGTTCTTCAACCCAGACAGCCATCCAGTCTCACAAATACCTTAGCATGTCACAGAGTTGCTTTTGTTACACTGGGTTCAGATTATTTACACAATCCTTAATCAATGATCTCGGTTATGTTGGTAGCCACACTCTTGATTTCAGGCATTGTTTAACAGAAGCATCCTTACCATTATTGCTAGCTTTGGTTATTTCCACTTCACTAACCACACCAATATTAAGCTGGTAGCCAAGCACCCATAATTACTAAACACTGGGACTTCACTTCTACTCAAACTCCCCAAGCTTATACTGCTTTCTTTGTAGACAGAGAACAGTATATTTAATGTGAGGGATCCATAACCATATTACACAACACCAACAACTTAGACATCATCTGCAATTTTAAGTTTTTATTTTACTTTACTGGTTCAACATTCCACCTTTTAAACTTTCACCAGGAGTTCCAATTCACAACGAAACCCTTTTCTTTGACAGAACATTTTAAAAATACAGCATTCAGAAATCATATATATTGCTTCAGGAATGAGAACTGTTGAAGATCTACACAGAGAGAATAATTCAACACAAAAGTTCAGCTCAAGTAACATAGAAGGAAACCAGTAATAACATATACATTCCAATGGCATATCAAGGAAAAATTAGGCTAATTTTATGTGAATAATTAACAAATATTTAGTTATTAATGATGTATTTACTTGTGTGCAGGTTTATTATGCTTTTACATGTTAGATACATATCTCAAGGTCTCTAAATACCAAGAAATCTTTCAGAAACCTTCTCACCAAAATCAGGAACATATATGTCAGCCAAATTATCACTCAGAAAGTTTTTTGCTACAAACAATTGATCTGAAAATAAAAATATATTAAATCCTTTCATTTTCCTAAATATCGGGAAAAAAAAAGGAAAATGTGAGTGTTTAAGTAAATGATATAATAGAATGAAATAAAATGTATTAATACAAAATAATAAATGAATGAAGCATTTTATAATTTTAATTCAAGCAGCTATGTTTTCAGGAATGTCAGCACTAAACCAATATTAATGTTGGAGATTTAGAGTTTAATAATTCAAAAAAAAGTTGGAGGTGTTCCGAGTGAAATATAAACATTGTCAACGAACAATTTTGACCAAGTGATTGAATACATAAAAACAGGCTTAATAAATGCTACATCACAATAATATATCACAACACACACAGGTACTTTTTGATCAAGTTCCTTTATTAAAACAAATTTCTGTATAATAGATTATGACATCCATACTTTTTGCACATGAAAATTTGCATATTTCAAGTTAATTATCTTATGAAAAAGATATGAAGAAAGAAAACATACATTAAATTAGTTGAGAAAAGTGATCAAAATAGCAGTAGGTAATACCTTACTAGTCAGTATTTTGTACTAGTCAGTATTACTTGTATTTTGTATTGGGTGTTAACTTTATTAAGGTAAACATTCTGGAATATACTATTTGTTCTGGTAAGTCACCAATTGAAAATATTTAATATATTACAGTAATCCTTATATAATGACCATTACCATTTTTTTTTTTTTTTCCAGCAGTACTAGTAACAATATATAGAGTAACTATCATAAACTATGGCAGCAGTTTTACGTTATTTACAATTAAATGTTCCCTAACATCTTATCCACTCACTAAAGCTAAGAATTTATGTACAAACAATTTTAGAACTTAATAAAACCATTTAAATTTACAAAGAATCGTCTCAAATTGTGAAACTGCTAACAGGAGTAACAATTAGAAGTATTTTACAGAAAATTACTGACATCTCTAAAAACCATAATCAGCTCTTAATACTTTTAACTTTGTGCTTAATAGTATGTTCAAGAAATAATAACAATTTTAAGTTATACAGCTAACAATATAAGATAGCAGAAGTATTTATTCTTTAATTTTTGAAGTGTTGTTGAGACTTATAATTCCCATGATAACTTTCATCATAAATATTATACAATACAATCCAACTTCTTCACATACTAGTTTCATGCCTAGCTCAATGTTTTGATTTTCCATGATCATTCCATAGTTTCTTCTTTTGCTTAGAATTAACAGAATGTCTCTTTCTGGACAAGCTTTCAAAACCATGTTGACATGGAGAACGAAGTTGTTCATGTTCAGTAGAACTGTAATAAGATGCATACATCAGAAGAGGAAGAGTGCCTTTTTTGTTTAACATTAACTTATTAGAATATAAGTTATTCATGTTGTATATTTCATTTTTGGTCAGATTACTTAAATCAAGAACAGATTTTAATAATTAACAAGTTTAAAATTTGGTTTGTGCAACCTTGCTATGCATGTAATTTGCAAAAAAACAATTCTTGATTATAATTAAGGTAAACTGTTTGTTAGCTGGATTGCTACACTGTTGTCACTACTTTATGTTTACCTAAGTTTCAGGACAATTTTTTATACATCCTACATTTTGTATTTGTAGTAACTGAACTGTGAGAACTAGGTAAACTGTTTGTTAGCTGGATTGCTACACTGTTGTCACTACTTTATGTTTACCTAAGTTTCAGGACAATTTTTTATACATCCTACATTTTGTACTTGTAGTAACTGAACTGTGAGAACTAAGCAAGTACACTACACACTCAAATTCCAAGTGTGGTAGGTAACAGCACAGTAGCAAACATTGCACTGGATTTTCTATGTAAAACCTTTATATACATTATGTCCTTTCAAACAGGTTCTATGATGTCTATGGATGTGATTATTCCTGGTCACAAATGGCACCTAATTTGCACCCCTTTTGATTGTTACTCTATGGTTATTTAAAAGTATCCAAAACACTATACAGGAGCTTAAGGATGCAGTAACTCAGGTGTGAAATATTTTACAGCATTGTGCACAATTATACATAATCTGATATCACAGAAAGAATAACATATTGAACATGTTATTTACAGTGTAATGATATTTAAGTGTATAGTGCAATGTTCCCAAATGATGTGCTGATTATGTGTCATACAGTCATTATAAAAACAAAATGTAGAACCTTTGTTATAAAGTACCCTGTGTATATAAATAACTACAGTGTCATCATTACTCTTTGTCTGGATGTTTACTTTCAGGTCATAATCACCTAGCAAAGTTGTGCCAAAATTAAAATGCAAATTACACATAAAACCTGGAAACAATTGTTAATACTACAATAACCCAGTGGAACTTACTATACCCCAATGTTAATGGGTTCTTTCAGTATTATATAAAAATTTCAAGGAAACAAACAATATGGGGTGTGGCATATTTTGGTATTGCAGAACATTCTACTGTGTAACAGACAATAGTTAGAATGTAACATTGATTAAAATACACATTTAATTTCTTACTATGAATCTACTGACTGTTAAATTCACCACAGCAAATTAGCACAACCATTAGAACATAGCTAATAAATGATTTAATGATATCTAGCTACATAGTTATCAATTAATTAGTAATATCCATGGAAATCAAAATGACAGGAAGTCAAACTTAATCCCATCTGCACAGGAGATAACTGAAACATGTAGAAAGTATTTAATGCACAACAGTTTGTTGATGAATAAGTTGGAACATACAGAAATTGCATACAACACATTGTAATGTGACTGGAAAGTC